AAGATTTGGCCCCATTAATTGGAGCAAAACAGGGTTGAGCTCTTAGAATCATAGAATCATAGAATCATAGAGTTGGAAGAGACCACAAGGGCCATCGAGTCCAACCCCCTGCCAAGCAGGAAACACCATCAGAGCACTCCTGACATATGGTTGTCAAGCCTCTGCTTAAAGACCTCCAAAGAAGGAGACTCTTATGTCCTGGCAGATGATATCTGGAAGGAGAGGCAGCGAGAGACCTGCAAAACTAAAACAAAAACTGCTCAGAGGATCCTCCTCCTCTTGCAAACCTTAATGGGATCAAAGAGGGGCTGCGTCCAACGTTAGCCCTACTCAGAGTAGACATGCTGGAAGGACTGTAGATAACTCACTGAGATCCATTAGTTTCAGTGGATCTACTCTGAGCAGGATGCAACCATCCAAAGTCACTGAAAAACAGGATTCTGCCTTCCCTAAATGCACCAGGAATAAAATTGCATTTTTCCCTTCCTGTTGCAAAACAAGCGCTGAACTGCATGACATTTGAGGTTTCTGGTTTAGAAGCTTGAAGAGCTTCTCATGTTTTCCCAGAGCTGCTCTTTCAACATCTTTCGGAGCCTGGCCCCAATCCAAGCTGGACTTGTTTTGGAAAAGCCCAAGAGTGACTTTGCTTTCTCCTCCTCGGCTGTACAGAACAAACTTTTCCTAGGAATTGCTCATGTGACTCTTCTTGCAGCCGAGAAAGGAAAAAACGCCAGTCTGGGGAAAGAGGAAGGAAAGAGGTTAAATTAATGGCCATTTATTTAAAGACACAGATAAGGTGCAAGTTGCTAGTCCCTGCTGTGTGCTACATGTCCCCCCAATGCACCCCCCATTGCCCCTCACCTGCCCTCTCCCCAAGGGCCCAGGTGAGCACAAGGTGAGGACTGTCCCTTTGCAGGGAGGGGGGAGGAAGGAGAGGCCGTTCCAGGGCAGGAACACCAAGAACCGTGCGCAGGTCAGGCGCCTTGCCAAGAGGCCAGACAGTCAACGCTGATAAATAGGCCTGCAAGGAGGAACATGACGGAGGGACAAAGTGGGCCGTGTCCTCGGTTGCCCTCATGGCTTATCCGCAGTCCCTCAAAACACTGCTCCTGATACAGCTTCATGTGGCCTGAGTGCACCCCATGCACCCAAAGCACATTCCCTGCCCAACCGAAGAGTCCTGGGAAACAGAGCTACTGTTCCCAGCAATGATTATTTCAGGGGGGAAGGATGTGCGTTAAATGTGCCCAGCAGGCACTTCCCATTCAGAACCATGAGGACTGGATTCTTAACTTCATTTAAAAGGGGTGGGTTATAGTTCCACAGCAGAACGCCTGCTTTGCACACAGAATTTATGTGGGCGTCTCCAGGTAGGCCTGGGAGAATCCCCTGAGTCTGAGACCCTGGAGAGCTGTGGCTGCCAGACGGTGGAATCAGTACTGAGCTAAATGGAACTGTGAGTAAGGCATCTGCCGACATCGCAAGCCGGAAGAAGGGAAGAGTCCCTGCAATAATTTGCAGCCAACCTCTGCCAGGCTGACTCTTGCAAGATGCAGGCAGAGTCTTCTTCATATACAGAATAAACAGCCTCTTGTCCTCCTGGAGATTCAGTCCCTCCCAACCCAGAGATGGCCAGCAAACCTTGAGGACTTCAGGTCAGTTCTGGAGGCTGGGCAACCCCCAACTGTGGGCGACTTCTGCAAGCAGAGCAGCTGTCCTGCCCTCCCCCTCCGTTCTGCCCCTGCCACCTCCTCCCTCTGCAACTGCCAGAGGCGCTTCCTGTTTTCCTGTTTTGCAGGCTCTGTTTTCACCTCTGCTCATTAAAGGGAGGTGTCTGCTCCAGCAGGACGCCTGGGTTCCTTCTCCCAGGATCCTGCTCCTGGCGCTGGCCACCTGCGGCGGGGGGGGGGGGGGAGGTGTCTAGCTCTCCCTGCCTGCCTCAGTTTTCCCTCCACCCTCCAGGAAGTGGGCCTCATTAAAGCAGGCTTGCTGCTGTTGTTGCCAGGAGCCGAGTGCGAGAAGTGTGTCATGGGGCTGTGCCCCACTTGCACTGGGGAGAGGCGTAGACTATTTCTGGAAGTGAATACCTGACCCATAATGGGCTTACGGCTCTCTGTGTGTGTGTGTTAGAAACCCTGTAAATCCAGCAGGGGAATAATGTCAGTTAATACTGGACTCCAGGGTCTTCAAGGCTGGACTACTGCAATGCACCTTCGGTGGGGCTGCCCCTTGGCAGATCTATTCAGATCTCGTATAAACCCTGCTTTAAATGGCGAGGAAGAGGCGAAATGACAGACACTTGTAAAATTATGAACACACACACACACACACCTTTTTATATATTATTTTTAAAAGTCAAAGTTTTGGGAGGGGAGTCTGGAATATCCTTGGGAGATCTGAGGGGTCCCCCTCCCTGAATGGTTGCATCTTGTAGCTTCATCTCTGAGTGCAGGGGCTGGGGGGGTCCCTTTTTTTAGGGGTCATGGGAGGTCTCTGCATTGACACACACACATCACATACACACACCCCGCGCAAAAAAGTCCACCTTTGACTCTACTGGAGGCCCTCATGGCAAAACTCATTGCCTTGTTAAAAAGGATAATGCAAAAGCAAGGAGCCAGTCCTCAAGGCTGTGAGGATGGAGGTGAAAGTATGTTAGCGGAAGCCGGACTGGATTTCCTGCATGCCTCCCGATGGAGCTGAATAACAGGGATGAAGGAGGCAGGGGTATCCTGGAGACAGGAAGCACTGCAGACTTCAGCTTCTCTAGCTCAAGTCTCGGGAGGTTCCACAGGGGAGAGGAGTCTCTTCTTATGAACCAGGTTTGTTTTTTAAAATCTACAGTATCTATCTATCTATCTGTTTTCCCCAAGGCAGCACAAAAGACCATAGAATTGTAGAGCTGGAAGGAACCCAGAGGCGGACAAATAATTCCTGCCTTGCAGCCAGGACTGCTTGGCATCTGGCTTCTTTCCAAAGCCCAGCACCTGGCAGCTGACCTCCTGCCAAGCGTATCTCACTTTTGCCAAGCTTATCTCTTCAAATGGACAAAGAATGAACCTCCTTTTGATTAGTGGCCTTGTTTGCTTTTTCCCAGCTCAGTTCCCAATGAAGATTATTTTAATTGGCTACCGGTCCTCGCTCGGGAAATCTTAATTAAAAGCGTCCAAACCGATGCGGGGGGTCCATAGTTATTGGTTCTATGGTTGCTCGAGGCATTGCATTTGTTGAGCTGTGCAATCGCTGCTTCTGACTCAAAAACGACAAATACCTGGACTTTTTGTTATTTAGAACCTAAATATTATTCTGGAAAATAAATAAAGGATAAACAAACAAACAAACAAATGGAGCCACATAGACGTTTTTGGATCAAGTTATCCAGATGAAAAGAAAGCTGTTAAGAGTAGAACAGAGCTGGAAATTCCCTCTTGTCTTCCTCTCTTGTCTCTTGCTGTCCCCCCTCCAATTTTAGATTGTAAGCACCTTGGGGCAAAGACACTTTTTCCTAGAACTTACTTGTGCTGCACATGATAACAGTATTATGGACTACATCCCGCTGAAATGAGCATGCACAACCAGTTCAGGCCATTGAATTTCAGTGGGTCTACTTTTGAGTAGACTGTGGCCATAGGCAACCCAAAATTATTGTTCCTCAAGTGAGGGAGACATAATGAGCTGCTGAGGAGGAAGGAAGGAAGCTGATTACAGGTTCTGTGCACAACTTGCAATTAAAGTGCATTGCTTCCCCCCAAAAACCCTGGGAACTGTAGTTTGCTCACCATAGAGCCACAGTTCCCAGCACCCTTGACAAACTGCAGTTCCCAGGAATCTTCAGAGGAGGTTTGTGTGCTTTAAATGTATGGCTTGTACGCAGCCTATGTTCTAAACCTCCCTGAGGCCTTTGAGGAAAATTCAGCGTACAGATAAAGGGAATTATAGAATCCTAGAGTTGCAAGGAACCCAGAGGGTCATCTAGTCCAACCCCCTGCAATGCAGGAATCAAACCTCTGGCTTTTCATCCAATTTGAGACCCTGCCTGATCCTGCTGAGCTTTGAAAATGTGCTAGCAGGTTTTGTTGTTGCTACCCGACTAGGAGACGCAGCAAACATTTAAAGCCATTGAATGCACATTCTTCCCTCCAAAGGATTCTGGGAACTGTAGTTTTGCCCCTCAGAGAGCTCCAGTTCCCAGAACCTTTGAAAACTGCAGCTCCCAAGATTCTTAGGGGGAAAGAAGCAGAATCATATAATTGTAATATTGGAAGGGACCCCCCCCAGGACCATCTAGTCCAACCCCCTTTCAAGATAGTGGGGAGCACCCTGGAAAAGCGGGGAGTCACTATGGCAGGCACCTCACGAGCAATCAAAGGGTGAGGTGCTGCCTGTTCTCTAAAAGCCTCTTCAGGTAACTGCAACCAGCTCTGGGTGTGAGCAAAGCAGATCCAGGTCACCAGCCTCTTTGCGAGAGGTTGGTCAAGAGGCCAGGAGGGAAGAAGCTGGTCTCCCTCCCGGAGGGCCGAACCGGCCGAGCAAGAGCCATCTAGGTCAGGGCAGCACGGGGCGCCGAGGGCGCCTGATTAGGGATTCAGCCTAGCCAAAGCTGCACTGTGCAAGAGCTGAGCTGCTCCATCACACCAGGGTGCCGTGCTTGTTAATTTTGCACTGCTGTCAGATTAATATTAAGGTTAAACCCCACACACCCCACAGAGACTGAGGGTTGTCATTTATCAAACTTTCTGCGGTAGTCACTTAAAAAAACCCCTCAAGGTGACTTACAGCCATTTATTTCTTACGTGATGTGGAAGAGCTGAGCTCCCCGTCAACAAAAGCTCGTTGCCAAGAGATATGGGGCGCACGGCATTTTTAATATAGTATTTCATGGTGTCCGGCTATAGCACAATTAAAATTGACCAAGTGCAGGCACTTTCACTTTGCAAGAGCTGAGCTGCAGACCATGTTCATTTTGCAAGTCAAAAAGTGTTGCAAACTTTCCAGCTATAACATAGTTGAGAGCTCAGGTGCATGTTATTAGAGAGAGCATGAGACTCTTAATCTCATCAGATGTCCAGGAAATAAGCAACTCTTTGATTTTTGGAAGACAGCCCTGTAGCAGAAAGTTTTTAATGTTTGATGTTTTATTGTGTTCTTAATATTTTGTTGGGAACCACCCAGAGTGGCTGGAGCAACCCAGTCAGATGGCTGGCGTATAAATAATAAAATTAGTTAACCATCATCTCAAGGTCATGGGTTCGAGCCCCACACTGGGCAAGAAGATTCCTGCATTGCCGGGGGTTGGGCTAGATGACCCTTGTGGTCCCTTCCAGCTCTACAATTCTATGATTCTAACAGAATTGAGAATGAGTGTGCAAACACACACATGTTAGCCAAAGTCATGCATTGCAAGAGCTGAGCCACTCCACCCCCCGCCGCCTGGTGCTTTGCAAGAGCTCATCTAAACTGCATGTTAATTTTGCATTGCATAATTTTCCACAGACAGATTACTAGGAAGGATCAAACCACCCTCCCACAAAGCCAAAGCCATGATGTGCAAGAACTGAGCTCCCATTGACCAAGGGGCCTTGCCTAGAGATCATTTTCATATTGCACAGTGTCTGCCTGCAAACACAACTGAAATTGAGTGTGGGGAGTCTAAGCTGTGCTTTGCAAGAGCTGAGCTGCAGCACATGCTCATTTCGCAAGTCCAAAGCATTGTAAACTTTCCAGCTGTAACACAGTGAAGTTTTAAGACGAGACAGAGAGAGAGAGAGAGAGGAGGAGGAGGGGGGGGTTCACCTGCCACCCTGTTTTAATTGTATTCTCACTTTGAGTCCCAAAAGGCACAGACAGAGCAAGGACATGCCAGGAGCTAAACATTTGAGAAGTGTGTGTTCCATCCCTGGCACCTGGCATTTAGAGATAGACTTGCTTGGGTGTGGAGGCTCCATCTGGCCATGACAAACAGCCTCCTCAGAAACTGGAGCCTTTCTGAAGGTCGGGGCTTTGCTTTTTTTGGCCTGATGGCTGTATTTGCATAGCTCCCTCTCCCTCTCTGATGTCTTAAACTTCGCCCTATTTCCTCTGTGCGCTTGAAATCTCTTCCTTCCGGGGGAAATCCCTGGCTGTTTCCCACTTCTGCAGGGAGGCCAGCCAGGACCAGAAGCCAGGCGGGTCCAAGATAGGCCACCAATTTTGGTGTGGGCAAAATGTGGCCTTCTGAGTTTTCTGCAAAGGGTAGAAACTGTGTGTGTGTTTCTGGGTGGAGCCCTTTGTAAAATCCGAAACTGGGGGGGAGAAATATGCAAAGTCACTTGAGCTGCGAAAGGCAATGCAGGCTTCTTACTGACCAGGGAGCATGTGTGCTCCGGAACTTCTAACAGCAGCCAGACAGTGACATCGTCCCCACTTAGTGGTGCAGAGCCAAACAGGAGCAGCTCACAGGCTCCAACTTTTGCAAAAAGCTGGCTTCAGCCTGGACGCTCTCCCAAACCTCAGCCAGTGAGATTTACTCCTGAGTAAACTTGATCTGAGGAGGAAGGGCCTTTTCTGCAGGGGCTCCTTCCTGACTGAGGTTCACCTTTTGCAGAGTTAGACAACCATTTCCCTTAATTCCTGCTCCCATCCGCTCCAGAACCTGCTCTTCCCCTCTTCCAAACCCCAAAACCCATTGCATCCTAGAATTGTAGAGCTGAGTGAGGTCCCCAGGGGCCATCTAGCCCAACCCTCTTTTGCGTGCTAAGCGAGCACTCCACTGCATCCGTCCTTTTGCCGTTTAGCCTGGAGAAGAGGAGAAGAGGAGGTTAAGGGGTGATATGATAGCCATGTTCAAATATATAAAAGGATGTCACATAGAGGAGGGAGAAAGGTTGTTTTCTGCTGCTCCAGAGAAGCGGACACAGAGCAATGGATCCAAACTACAAGAAAGAAGATTCCACCTAAACATTAGGAAGAACTTCCTGACAGTAAGAGCTGTTTGACAGTGGAATTTGCTGCCAAGGAGTGTGGTGGAGTCTCCTTCTTTGGAGGTCTTTAAGCAGAGGCTTGACAACCATATGTCAGGAGTGCTCTGATGGTGTTTCCTGCTTGGCAGGGGGTTGGACTCGATGGCCCTTGTGGTCTCTTCCAACTCTATGATTCTATGATTTTGCACCAGCGCTTTCTCTGCTAAATAGTGGAACAAGTAAAAAAAAACCAGACTTCAAAGTTCAGAAACTCCCCCTGCACCAGGGGCTTCCCCACCCTGGGCACCCAGTGGGTGGTGAGTGGGGTGGGGGTGGGGAGCCATGGCCCCCCAACGTCTCGGTTGCCGGCCCAGATCTCATCTGCAGCTTACAGGAAAACACCCCAGAGAGAGCTGGGCCTGCGGTTGAGGAGGCTGCGTGTGTTTGTGAGTGTGTCACACCTCAGGGGAAAGGAAAGGTGGCTTTTTATCGCTCTCTTTCCACCTACAACAGCATCGCAAAGGGGAAAAGAAATCCCCCAACTGACGCTGAAAAGCCAGAAACTGTGTGATCAGCGGGAACACCCTCCGGCCTGGGTGAGCACCCAAGGGTGCTGCGTCTGGAAAGACCCATGTTTCGGTGACTCCTTTTTTGGGCGCACACTGAGCAAGCCCCCCCAGAATTCACAGCCTGAGGAAGGGTTCGGAAATTTGGCCTTGCTTCTGGGTTATTTTACCTTGTTGCTTTGCATTTGAAATAATCTAATAGAAAATACTTTTTTTAAAGGGGGTTTTGAAAGAGAAAGACAGAAAAAGGAAAAAAATCCACCTTGCAGCAAAAACTTTCTGCTGTGTTGGAGTCTGCAGAGACAAGCTTGAAAGAGGAGAGCCTGAGAAGGGATGGAGAGAGAATAAGCATGCAAATTGGGGTGCATCTTCTTTACATAAGCCTCTCTCCTGTGGTTTCTTAAGGAGGGGCAAAAGCCTTTGCTGATTGCTAAGACTTCTCTCTGGTTTGGGGGAACTCCTGCCTCTTGAGATGCTGCCAGGCCTCTCCTTCTAAGCCATCTTGAGGGCTAGTGGCTTGTGGAAAAGAGTTTACAAGGAAAACACCACCACTTGGTTAAATGTTTTGCTGCAACGGCAACAAGAGAGACTTTGCAGCATCATAAAGCAATAAGGACTGTTCTCTGGCCGGCATGGATTTCACGGGTTACAAAATCACAGAATTGTAGTGTGGGAAGGGGCTCTGAGGGTCAGTTTGCCAAAGCCCCTGCAATGCAGGTTTCCTGCATCTTGTTGCAAACACAGGCTTCTGGTGGGGGTGGACTCTCCTTCGCTGGAGGTTTTTAAACAGAGGTGGAATGGGCATCCGGCAGGGATTCTATGTCTGCCATTCCTGCCTTGTGGGGGTTGGACAAGATGACCTTTGGGGGTACCTTTCAGCTCTACAAGTCTATGATTCTATTTTTCCAGGTCATCAGTATCTGTCTTTTTGCTGTATTAAGGGCAAACGCAACTCCCTTTAACAATTGAATTGGATATCTTCAGGGAAGTTTTTCATGGTTGATGTTTTATTGTGCTTTTAATATTTTGTTGGGAGCCTCCCAGAGTTGCCTGGGCAACCCAGTCAGATGGGCAGCATATAAATATTAAAATTATTATTATTATTAGTAGTAGTACAAACTTGCTACACATGAACAAGATGCATACACAAACATGGACTTGTCATGGACAAATTTGACAATATTTGGAATTCATTTTTATAAATACCATATTAGGTTAAGGTCTGGTTAATTACAATAAAAATGCTTTTTATTTTTGCAATGTACACAATATTGTTGTTCTGTTCTGTTTAGTTTTCTACATGGGTACTATCTCTAGTTTCTTCATTTTTGTGTTTTATCTTGTTCTGTGCACTTGTACTTTTGTACTTTTTATTTTTCAATAAAGAATATCAAATACAATTCTAAGGTTCTGAGCTTGCAGTTCTTGTAATCCTGGCTGCTCACTTGCTTGCCTTTTTATAACTCTGGGGCTGGGAATATCCAGGGACTTCCAGAGCATCCTGAACTCAAATCTCCCAGCAGCCAGCATGGCTAGTGGTCAAGGCCAATGGAGAGTTCTCCTCCAGCCCCCATCTCCCTTGCCAAGTTCCTTTAAAAACATATATTTAAAAATTTCAATAGTTTACAAATTTAATACAAAACAATACTTTCCAATTGATTTTCATTCACCATTTGACTTCCCCTCCCCCCCCCCCTTGGTGTATTTGGGCAATCTATCCGGAAGATAAATTGTATTTTGAGGAGTTAGTGATCTGACCTAGTTACTCTTCCTGCCTCTGTTCCTTAAGGACTTTGACAGAACACCTTTAATGCCCTCATCAGTTGGAAGGATGTGGTAGTGCTGGGTACCTTCTTCGATGTTGGACATTGTTTTGAGAAAGTGAGGCAAGCCACACAGGCTAGCTATCTATAAATCAGATGGCTGTGGGCAGAGTTTTAGAGAAGCTCGTGCACAGGCTGATGGGCTATTTATATATTGCTTGCTGTTTAGAATAAACTCTTTAATCTTCTCACTCGTGTTTTGTACAGTGGTACCTCTGGATACAAATGGGATCCGTTCCGGAGCCCCGTTCGCATCCAGAAGTAAACGTAACCAGTGATTGCACGTCTGCACACGTGTGTGTCGCTTTTCGCCGTGTCTGCGCATGCGCAAGCAGCGAAACCCAGAAGTAACGCGCTCCGTTACTTCCGGGTTGCTGCGGAGCGCAACTCGAACACGCTCAACATGAAGCATATTCAACCCGAGGTATGACTGTATTATTTCTTAATCTCATTTTATGAGAACCACCATGCATTCGGCAAGACACCATGGTTTCCTCTTCTTTTCTAATATTGCTGCATATTATAATTATTCTATGTCCTATCCTTTCCAATTGTTCCCAAATACAGTAGTACCTCTGGTTAAGAACTTAATTCGTTCTGGAGGTCTGTTCTTAACCTGAAACTGTTGTTAACCTGAAGCACCACTTTAGCTAATGGGGCCTCCCACTGCTGCCACACAATTTCTGTTCTCATCCTGAAGCAAAGTTCTTAACCCGAGGTACTATTTCTGGGTTAGCAAAGTCTGTAACCTGAAGCGTATGTAACCTGAGGTACCACTGTACACATTTTACTGCTGTTCCTTCATTCAAATCCTACTTGCGTTTTTACATGTTTACAATGATTCTTTAGATATTCAACAAAAGCTTTCCAATCCTCCCTAAAACCTGCCTCTGCTTGATCTCTAATTTTTATAGTTTGTCATATTCTGTCCATTTTATCTGCCCCTCTCCTTTGGAAGGTGTCACCTCCTCTTGCCATTTTTGCATACATAATACCCTCACTGCCATTGCTGCACATAGAAATAAGTTTGTCTGCCTTTTTGGAACATTCATCTCAGTTATCCGTAATGGACTGACTTCTGGGGTTTTTTTTAAGAGTCGCCTTAAATATTTTCTTTACCTCATTGTAAACCATCTCCCCCAAACCCTTAGCCATTCGAAATGTCCACCACGTATAGTAAAAAGTACCTTTGACTTCTTTCCATTTCCAGTGGATACCTGACTCAGATTTATGCATTTTTGCTCAGTTACTTGGTGTCAGAGACCACCTGCCACCAGCGAGTCACAAGGTTGGGAAACCCCCGTTGCTCTTCTGTGAAACAGGAATTATGGTCACAGGGCTCTTGTGAAGTCAGAGCAATTTTTATAAAGTCCAGCCACCCCCCTCCCAGGCCGGGTGACCAGCTCAGAATGCGGATTTTGCACACTTGTGACCGAGGAAGGAGCCTGGGCTTTGGCCATTGAGACACTGGCAGATTTTTCAGAAAGCACCAACTGTGGTGGAGTCAGTGAGGCAGTTTGAAAGGCAGCGCCGTGTAGTGGTTAGAGGGTCAGGCTAGGATTTGGGTTCAAATTCCTGTTTGGCTGTGAAGCTTGACCTTCGGGGCAGCTCACTGTCTCTTGGCCTGGCCTACCTCACAGGGTTGTGGGATTAAATGAGCTCTCCGGAATAAAGAGAAGCTGGGCTATAAATGCAATTATTAAGAAGTTTGCTCTCCCGGCACTCACCTTCTTGGCTTGGCATCAGGGGCTCCCCTTCTTGACTTCTGCTGCCCGCAAACCACAGCATTTGGGGGCAGGTTAAGGCAAGAAGCTGAAACATGTATTATCATCTTTTTAAGGAAGAGGCAACGCTGCTTTATTTGGCCATTTTTAACCGACTCCAAACACCTGACAAAAGTGAGTTGCTTCCGCAGGTTACAACTCCCTCTCCCAGCAATCCTTAGAATTTTGTTTTGCAGAGATAACTCCCAGATTTTCTATTTTAAAAATAACATTCCTCTAAATGGTGTGAGATCAAGTATGATCCAATAGTCAAAAGTTTTGATCTCAGGCAAAACCATTTTAGAGCTGCAGTTTTTAACCCGCCAGAAAGGGCTTTCTATAAACAGGAGGGACTTGCAGGCCTTGCTGGAGAAATTGGACGCTTCCTACGTAGTGTATTCCTCAATGCTAAATGAGTAATTGTGATGCTTAGCTTATTTTTCCATTGTTGCTTTGTTAACCGTGTTTTATAGATTGTGATTGTTTCAGTGAAGATTTGTTAATTATTTTATATGATTCCATTTGATTTAAGCTGTATTTCTATTATGTTCTATCGTTGTTATTCATTGTTCGTAAGCCACTCTGCAACTCATTTGAATGAAAAGTGGCATTAAAAAATATAAGTCAAACATCAATCAAACCATCAATGCATTACTTTGAAGTCTTTTGTTCAACCACAAAGAATTCAGGTGACCAGCTTTTTGCAGGGCAATGACCTCACGACCCTGTTGAGGACTGCATTGCTGGGGGTTGGGCAAGATGACCCTCAGGGGTCCCTCCCAACTCGATGGGAAAAAGTCTGCCTTTGCAAAGCTGGTGTGCTCCAAGGCTGCAAACACCCACCACCCCTGCAGCTCAAAAAAGCCTCTGGGCACAGCACCAGGTTGGCAAACGAGATGGCAGATTCAAGAAACACAGGTCACAATTCGCTTTCAGAAGGTAACAAAATTTTTTATTGCAGCTTTTAAAATCACATATAAGAATATATAGATGTATTTGATTCTCTCTCAGTGCAAAAAAGTCATTTTGCGTGTTTTTTCTCTTAAATAGATAAATAAGAACTTCTCTGCATCCAGTTCATTTTTAAATTTTTTAAAAAAGGAGTTCATTTGCAAACTGTCTTTTTTTTGTAAAGCTGTCCCGCAGATGCTAAGGATTCTGCTTCCGTCTGCCTTTCTCTTGGCAAGAGGGCGTCTGTGCAATCCTCCCCAAGGCAGCAGATCCCTTTCCCGGCAGCACAAAGGAAGGCGCGGCCCTCCTCTTCCTCTTCCTCCTCCTGCTGAGCAGTCAGCTGACGCAGGAGCTTGCAAGTCAGCAGGTCACCAGGCAGCCGCCGCCTCCTCCTCCTCGGAGATCATCTCGTCACCATCGCCTCGTCTCTCTGACTCACCACCCACCACTCAGCTTCTGCTGGGGCGGCCAGTCGTGGTTTCGGTTAGTTTTTTTCTTAACAACAACAACAAAAGAGAACGCTTTCTCTTCCCTTCTTGGTTTATTTTTCCCAGTTGGCAAGGTGGCATCGTGGGGCGGCTCAGCGAGCCTGGAGGGTGACATAGGGCACCCACTCGTTGTTGCAGCGGCTCTCTTCGCAGTAGCTGGCAACCTCTGCCAAGCCCTGGGTCTTCCAGGAATCCGTGTGCGGGTTCTGTGGGAGAGAGGGGGAGGGAAGACACATGAAACCTCCAGCTGCAAAAACAAGATCCTGTCCAGAATGTCAGAATACAAGGACCCAGGAGAGACCAGGGTTCAAATCCCTGCATTTGGCCATGAAGCTCAGGGGGTGAGCTGGGGGGGGGGCAGTTACTATACCTCTCTGCCTAGCCTACCTCACAGGGGTGTTGTGGGGACTGAGAGAGGGAGTGGAGGAGAACTGCATATGACACCTTGAGGGGCCTGTATCTTCCTGGAGGGCATATAAACATGGTAAATAGATAATAAGAAAAGCATTCTGCCCCCATCTTGCAATCCAGAAGGCAGCTCAGGAAGTGCTGTTTACACAGCTCACATCTGGCTGGGCTAAACTGCGCATGTGCGCTCCCTCTCTCACACACACAGGAGCAAAAATGACATTTCAGGAATTCCTCCCCTCCCTGGAGGAGGAAGGACATTCCGATCTGGGCCAGTCAGGGGAGCTTGTCAGTTCCCCAAATGGCGCTGAGACAACAGACTATTCCCTTCCCCCCAGACATGTTGGGGTGATATGCCCCCTTCCCATGGCGGCTGGCCAGGACATGATGGCCGACCTCCCCCAAAGCTGTCCCTCACATTTGTCCACCTCCAGAACTTCTCTTTTTAAGAAACAAAACACTATTAAACTGCAGGATGCAGCGTGAAAGCACCCATCTCTCCCCTGCTGTGGCAAGGCCAAGGCTTGCAGGCTGGGCATTTCCCCCTGTGGGGGGAACCAGACACACTGGTGGACCTCCAGACGCACTGCCCAGGCTTGTGCCCCAGAGGGTCACTTTGGTGGTGCTAACACAGCAGTTTGGCTTCACCCCCGGAGGTGCGCTCCATTGATCCCCATGCTCCTTGCGCCCGGCCTGCACCCTCCCCGTTTCCCGACCAGGCAAGTCCCGCATGTGCAGCTCCTCTCCTGGCACCGTCCCAGGAAACCTCGGGCATGCCAGGGCCACGTGGGCGCTGCCAGCTCAACTCACCGTCACCAGGATGCAATGCAGGTCCTGTGGCTCCGCGGTGTCCTGGGAGCCGTCTCCCAGCACGGCCGCCAGCCGCTCCATGCCGGACACACGCAGGATGTTGATGTCGTTGTCACAGCAAAAGGCCTGGATGAGCGTGAAGTGGATCTGCAGGGCAATGTCATCCTCGTCTTCTTCATCGATGGCGAGCAGGCAGAGGACCACGCTGTCCGGGTCCCTGGGGAGAGGAAGCGGCAGGAGAGTTAAGGGCGGCTCTTTCCAGCCCAAGCCCCAAACCAGGGCCGTTCCCTGCCTCCACCGCTCCCTTTAGCCCATTTGCAAATTTGGCTTCATTTTAGCCCCCTATTAAAAAGTTACACACTCTATTTTATCTACCTATTAAAATGTTACATATTTTATTTTAGCTACTTATTAAAAAGCTACACAATCTTAGCTACCTATTAAGAAGATGTGCATTTTAGTTGCCCATTAAAAAGCTACATGCTTTATTTTTTAGTTACAAAAGTGTATATACTAAAAGTTACCTGTTTCCATCTATTTCTATAGTTACATATTATAAGTAAGTTACTTTTTGTTTTCTGTTTTTTACTTTTTTATTGTTGCAAGGTTTGGCTTTCCTAGATGCAAATCAAAGTTGCCTCCCCCCCCCGCCTTGCAACGTCATTTATCCATTTCTGAAAATAAATGAATATAGTTGCTTGTATGTTTCAAAAAGCAACGATTCGCACGCCCTGTGAATTTGAACTAAACTGGCGGCACAGACAAAGCCTTGCTTTTGAAACACACACACAAACCACAAGAGTCACTTACTGGAGCCAGAAAAAATGCAATAAAAAAAATGACTTACACATTCATGAGTTTGGCAGACTCGTAGACCCCAACTGTCAAGGCCCCCTGCCTCTGGGCTGCTACCAGGAGCTGCTCCACAGCTTCACTTACTGACTTCATCCTTTTTGGGGAGAAGAAGGGAGAGAACAAATGAGATTTTGGCACCAGGAGCAAAAAAATCCACAGCAGAAACTTCCACTCCACTTTTTTTCCCCCCAGACACAAACTTACTTGTTTTCTGTGTTATCGCAAGACACCAGCTCTTCCAGAGTCATGTTGCAATTATAATCCACAGTGGCGCAAAAGGGGGGAAAAAAACCAGTCCAGGTAATGCCAGAAAAATTGGTGGGTTTTTTCTTCCTTTCCTTCCTTTCTTCCAGCAAAGCAACGTTTCCCCACAAGCCAGAAAATCCAGAAGGTCCTGCGAATAAATCCCAGCGGAAGAACAAGGCGATTTCCAAAGTGCTGGAGGAAAAATAACAATGCACAAAAAGAGAAATTAAGATCCAGTCCAGCACAGGCGCTGCTTCGGCGGCGGATCGGATTCTGACTCGGCCAGAGCAGCTGACGGCGCTTTTTATAACCTCCCCAGGAGGGGCGGGGCTCGAATTGGTCCTTTCCTCCTTCTGATTGGCTCTCGAGCCACAAAGGTCGGCTCCGGGAGCCCCCGGATTGGTGGAGGCGCGCAGGAGCCACCACGTGGGGGAGGAGAAATGTTGCAACTAGGAAAAGTCCGAAGGAGGCGCTTCGCTCTCGCGCGGCTGTTTTTTGCTGCTTCAAAGAATTGCGTGTTTGTTTTTTCTTTTCCACCCCCCCTTAAAAAAGAAGAAGCGAGTTTCGGTTTATTTTTCCCAGCAGCAGCAGCAGTTCCTGCTTAGGAGAAGATTTCCACAGAAAACAGGGCCGGGCCCAATGGGGAGCTTTCTGGCTGCGCGTCCCTGTTTTGCAGAATTTCCCCGAAACGTTGCGGTAGGAGGGAGCCAGGGCGAAATAGGAATTAATAAGAACAGCAGCAATCGCGTAAAAAGGAGCAACGCAAGGCAATGCAACACACAGCGCCAAATTTATAGTAATTGCAAAAATAAAGTACGCAAGGCGGTTGGATCAGCATGCACGGATAGGCTTTCCCTACAAAACCGTTGGGGTTGCTTTTCTTTCTTCAAAATCATTGGGATATTTTTTTTAAAAAAATGCAAACCTGTTGCACTCAAATAAAAGAGACTTGTTTGCAGGCAACGAAGAGAGCGAAAATAAAAGTGGGCTTTGATGAGGGTAGTGGGGTAGTTGGGGCGCTGTGCCCCCTCCCCACTATGCAAGGAGGAGGAGGAGCAGCCGGGCGCGTGGCGTGGGATGGCGCGTGGCGTGGGCTGTGCAAATATCACTCGTGGTTTCACACTCCTCTGACTCACTCGCTGGAGCTTGCACATTTTTTCTCGGGTGTGTGGGGAGAAAAGCCACGCATGCAGTTTGCGAGCCCCATCCACCCCTCAAAAAACCTCTCCCTAATACAACCCGCACCACCCCAGGCCTGAAGTCCATTCCTGCACTTTGCAAATTGCACATTTTTCTTCAAAACCCCATTCTCTCTCTCTCTCTCTCTCTCTCTGACCTCCCCCACCACCCTTAAAAACAGACAAACGCCCTACTAATTTCACTGGTTTCACTAATTGCAAAATCCCACAGTGTCAGTTTTGCTCCGGAGCAAACGCGCGCCCGACCGAGCTGGCGAGACGCAGGATCTGTGCAACTCCCCGACTCAGGAAATAAAGGCGCAGAGCTCTTCTCTCCTTTTTGGGCGGAGGGTTGGGGCCCCTCCGCGGCGAGTCGGACCCCTGCCAAAGTGGGTGACGGGTCAGCCATCGGTCTGGCACGCGGCTTGACCCCGCTTGCACCCAGAGAGGATCCGGTTTTACAACCGCGCCGTGCAGGAGAGGTGACTCAGCCCCGACTCAGCAAACCCAGCCCGGCTCGGATGGGGACAAAAAGTGCTGTTTTCGAGAGTGAATTATGTCTATGAGCAAGAGGAGATGTGATGGAGAAGGAGGAACCAGGACCGGGCCGGAATCAGACCCAGCCAACCCACCTCCCTGTCTCCAGCAGGGGACGGTCAGACGACCCCCCCCCCCACCAGAGACCTCTACTGCAAAAAATAAAAACATACCTCCAAGTAGTTTACAGGAAAGACAAAACCATAAAATTATTAATAAGAAGAATTAGTAAATTGGATCACTCAGTCAAAAGAGCATGAGACTAAGTCTGAGGGTTTGGGGTTCGATCCTCACATTGCACATTGCAGGGGGTTGGACTGGATGACCTTCAGGGTCCCTTCCAACTACCATTCTAGAAACTGAAGGAAATAGACTTATTAAGGCAGCAATTATAAGTTAAAGCAACAGAAGAGGAAAAGCAGATTAAGGCATGCATCAGCTTTCTGAACCAGTGGGCAAAGGTGCTTTTAGCAGGCACCAAAAAGAGTCCAGTAAATGAGTCGGCCTGATGTCAACAGGCAGGGAGTTCCAAAGGTCAGGAGGAAAACAACCTCTCCAGTCGACATGGCAAGGTAGATTGCTCCTGGAGCTGGAGGATTGCTCAAAGAGTAAGGCTTGCTCTAGGAACAGAACAGGCCAAGAACCATCTGGCATCTCCAGGGAGCCCACAAGACGAAACGCCGCTGGTCTGTTGACTAAGGGCTTTTGGCAGGATTCTCCCTCTCCCACCGTGGATTTGCCTTAAGGCCTCCCTGATGTAAAACCACCTAAAAACTGGTAGTCACACATCTTGTGGCAGTGAGTTCCATACATTTGTTGTAGGCAGCTTATTATTAATAATAATGATAATGTTATTATTTATACCTGCCCAAAGACATTGTGCACTTTGAACCTGCTGCTGCTCTGCATAATTGTCTAACTGCCCCCCCAAAAAAGTTCTAGGGTCACACAAAATAGAGAAGTTGATCTCTCTGATCTCTTTCACGGATTTTATGACCTATTTACATATCTGAGATTGCAATTTAAAAATAAATTACCGTATTTTTTGCTCTATAAGACTCACTTTTTCCCTCCTAAAAAGTAAGGGGAGATGTGTGTGCGTCTTACGGAGCGAATGCAGGCTGCGCAGCTATCACAGAAGCCAGAACAGCAAGAGGGATTGCTGCTTTCACTGCACAGCAATCCCTCTTGCTGTTCTGGCTTCTGAGATTCAGAATATTTTTTCTCTTGTTTTCCTCCTCCAAAAACTAGGTGCGTCTTGTGGTCTGGTGCGTCTTATACAGCGAAAAATACGGTAAATTAAGGCAAGTGAGAAGCAGTATGGTTAGAGTGACAGCCTAGCAGTGGGCTCTGGGTTCAAATCCCTCCTGCCACATTGTTCATTGAATGACCAGTTATTATTTCCTCACCTGACCTGCCTCACAGGGAGGTTGGGAGGACAAAGTGGTTGGAACCCCGACTCAGCAAGGAAGCTAACTAGACATGCAAATGATATTAAATTGAACAAATTTAATGAAGCGGATTTGCAGTACGTATTTATCTATGGGGACAATTTTGGGGTGGGTACGATGACTGGGGGTCGTGAGGACCAGCCATGCACATGATGGGGACCAGAGAGCAGTTTTGTTGTGCCCTCACCGGCTGAAGGGAAGCACCCAGCACCCTGCAAACTCCAGAGGAGCGAGCCCGCCCTCTGGTGGCCGAGTGCAGGAGCAGCACCCACCGCCAGGAGGCAGATGAATAATTCCTCCTTCTGCCACCCTCTTCCATCAGCACAGAATGAGAGAATTGTGGGTCATCCAGTCCAACCCCCTGGGATGCAGGAATCTCAGCTAAAGCATCCAGGACAGATGCCATCCAACCTGTGCTTAAAAACCTCCAAGGAAGAAGAGTCCTGAACCTTCCCAGGGAGACCATTCCACTGTCAATCAGCTCTTGCTGTCTGAAAGTACTTTCTGATGTTGAGTCAGAATCTCCTTTCTTGTCACTTGAAGCCATGGGTTTGAGTCCTACCCTCCAGAGCATGAGAGAACAAGCTTGTTCCCTTTTCCACGTGGCAGCCCTTGAGATGTTTGAAGATGGCTCTCAGTCTCCTCTTTTCCAGGCTAAACATCCCCTTCAACTGTTCCTCATAGGGCTTGGTTTCCAGACCCTGGATCATCTTGGCTTCCCTAGTCAATAAGGACTAGTCTCTTGAGAACGCTTGAGATTACCAGGGTTGGGGAGGCCTTTTGTCCTTGTTATAATGCTACATAATGAGCACATTTAGTAAATAATGTTTTATTCTCTTAAACTTCTAGTTGCAAGCTGATTTGAGACAACTAAATGTATAGATTAATAACAATAATAATCTGAACTGAATTTATGGCCAGATGGGTCACCAACTGTTAAGGTGTTACTAACCGTGCCTTGAACTTGGCAAATTGGCAAGCAGTGCATATCTCTGAGTGCAGCTGCTATATGCTGACCAGGCTGGGTTCCTGCCAGGAATTGTGCCGCAATATATATAATTATAATTATAATTATATATAATATAATTGTGGGACGCAGGTGGCACTGTGGTCTAAACCACAGAGCCTTGGGCTTGCTGATCAGAAGGTCGGCGGTTCGAATCCCCGCAACAGGGTGAGCTCCCGTTGCTCATCCCTGCTCCTGCCAACCTAGCAGTTCAAAAGCACGTCAAAAGTGCAAGTAGATAAATAGGTACCGCTCCGGTGGGGTGGGAAGGTAAACGGTGTTTCCATGTGCTGCTCTGGTTTGCCAGAAGCGGCTTAGTCATGATGGCCACATGACTTGGAAGCTGTCTGCGAACAAATGGCCTATAGAGCAAGATGAGTGTGCATCCCCAGAGTCGTTTCTCACTGGACTTAACTGTCAGGGGTCCTTTACCTTTACCTTTACCTATTATTATAATTATTTATTACATTTTTATACCACCCTCTGCAGATCTCAGGGTGGCTCACAACATGAAAATACAAGATAAAAAAAACCTACAAAAACAATAAAAACAAGAACAACTAATAATCCTCCCCTACACATTTTAAAAAGGCACTGGATGTTAATCAGCAAAAGAACTGGAAGAAGAGGAATCATTTCAGCTGGTGCCTTGGGGAGAGTGTTCCACAAACAGGGAGCCACCATAGAAAAGGCCCCGTTCTCATGTGCCACCCTCTGGACCTCTCCTGGAGGAGGCACATGAAGAAGGGCCTCAGAAGATGATCTCAGTGTCTGCATCGGTTTATACAGGGAAAGATGGTTCTTCAGGTATTGTGGTCTTGAACCTTTTAAAGCTTCAGAGGTCAAAAGCAGCACTTTGAACTGGGCCTGGAAACTAATTGGCAGCCAGTGCAGTCGGACCAGGATCAGTGTAATATGCTCAAACCATCTTGCTCCGGTCAGCAACCTGGCTGCTGAATTCTGCACCAGCTGAAGTTTCCGAACCGTCTTCAGAGGAAGCCCTACGTATAATGCACTGCAGTAGTCTAACCTTGAGGTTGCCAGAGCATATTAAAAAAAAAATTAAGGTGATATATATATATATATATATATATATATATATATATATATGTTCATAAATGTACCAACCAAGCGCATACATAGATGTGTGGACCACATGTCTGGAGCAGCACAGGAGGACTGCCCTGAAACCATTTTCACTTCCAAACTGACCAAATGATTTCTCTGCAAGGTCAAGGAAAATGGAAAAGCCTCCCCATTGTCTTTTCATTCACAAATCCTGTCTTAAGGGTATGTCTGTATGTCTAGGGT